AAAGTGTCTCAAAATTACTGTGATATGTTTTCCCAAAAAATTCATTCATGTTTTTTAAAATTCATTTTAAATTTGTTCACTAAAAAAAAATAGTTACGTAAATAGTCATAGGCTGAAAACTTATTTAAAAAAAAAAACTTTGGGTAAAAAGATTTTTTTTTTACTCTTTTTTTGTTTAATTCTCATGGTTTATTCTTTCGTTTATTTTTTTATTTTTTTGAAAAATATTTCGTTGTACTTTTTTTTTTCAATTTTATTCGAGGTTTAGTTTAGAATTCTTAGATTTTTATTTTCTGTCTTATTTCACTGCAGGTTTTGATTAATTATCGATATTCTGATTTTTAATTACGAATCTTGTTTGGCGACCAAATAAATGGTTCCAAAACAAATTGTAACTGGACACATTTTTAGATGTTTGCTTTCACCAATAATGAATTTAATTTTGAAAAACAGTTTATCAGTGAGAAATTTCAGTACTTGCACATTAACCCAATGATATTTGCGACATTTGGTGAATTACAGATTGAAATAAATAGCCACAAGTTCAAAACTGAAAAGGATGATATAAAACTCGTAAAATGTTTGGGAAATAATCTTTCGCATGCAATTAATTTCGGCAATATATTACTAGCAATGGTTGAAGACAAAAGGAAGTTAAATTTCTAATAACTAATATTGAATTAAAGTAAAACTCATTCACACACACACAAGAGAAGCAATTTTTTTTAATCCACCGCTGCATTTTAGTAACGCATCAGGAGTGATCAAAAAAAATTTTACTCACTTTAATGAAGGCAAACGCATTTATTGTCATAATTACTGCAGTGAATAAAAATGACAAAGTTAAAATAAGTGTGCTCAAACTATAATCCACCCGCCTCCAAACATATTTGAGCACGATGTTGGCGACATTACTCAGAGTAGCTAGAGGAATTGGATGACTAGCCATTTCAAATTCATTGCTCAGTTTCTCTAGTGTGCATGATTTCTTGCTGTACACCCCATTCTTAAGGTAAACTCATATGTAAAAGAGGCCACTTCACTTGAGAGACAATATTTGAATCATTTTAAACTAGCATCGGTGCCTCTACACGGGGGGGGCGTTTAGTGATATTAAAAATCGAATTAGTGACACATCGACCGCGAATCTATGACTATTACCACTTGTTTTCTACGGCCACTAGAACAGAAACAGATACTTATTATTTAAAACTGCAAGGCAGTTATGAGGCTAAATTGCAGAAATCTTCGTCATTTCGCTTTTCTTAGCATATTTTTAGGTGGAACGATTTATATTTTTCACTTCTGAAATATTTTCGTGTGAAATATTTGGCGAAAACTGTTTGCTGAGGTCTCCAATATAACCTAAATGGGGAAAAATGTAAACAAAATACTTTGTTTTGCTTAAAAGTTGAACGTCTGATATAAACTAAAACATGTATCTTTTATTGTAAATTGATCATTTTATTTTTTTATTTACTATCCGATTAAAAGTCTCAATTTTTACATTAAAATCAATTTATCTCAAAATGTAAACGATGTAACTTTTTCTGAGAAACTACTGTTCCCAGGTATGTAATTTTTTGACATATTTATTAAGATGGTTAATATATACTGAAAGGAGCTTTTTGTAAAAAACTTAAAAATTTATTTTTTACGAATTTTTTATGTGATCGGGTCAAATTTCACTGTTTGAAAAAATATTTTATAAATTATGAAAAAATTCAAAATGAGCTAAAATCTCATTTCAATATAATGAGAAAGGTGTACTTTAATTGTATGAAAAATTTCAAACATGTACATGTAATAGATTTTAAGAGAGGGTGAATCGAAAACAGCCAATTTAATATTGTCAGTATAGAGAGAGAGGTTTCCTACTCCCATTAAAGGGTATATCAAAATACAATAAAACTTAAAAAGAAATTTTTTTAAAATAAAAAGGTTTCCAGAAAAAATTCCTTATTTTGGTTACATTGTTAAGCATTGTGAAGTCTCCCCCCTCGGGTGAACATCCCCTTGATTATCAGCGTGAGGTGTAGGATTAATTAAAGAACTAGGAGCCTACATAATCTTAATATGACTAAGATTTTTAACTTAAACCTTTAACAAATTAGATTATAATAATACTCGTATATGTGAGAGAATCCACAGTGGCAAAACGCACAATATATAAATATTACCGAAGCTACTCAACCCGGACCACTATCAATAACTGACTCGCCTAAACTCAATTCCAATACTATCACAGATCCTAATATTAAATCGTCAATCGTACCTTGTTGTAGTCTATAGCGATCACAATAATTGTAGATGAAGTTGCGCAATTACTCGAGTGCAATGGTATGCACCTTGACTTATGGCTCTCTATCACATATAATTTCTGTTAGCCACCACGTAATGTTTTCCAAAACCTCCTCACGCTTCAACCACGGATTATCTTTACATCCCACAAATTACCACCCCACTTACTCTAACTTCTGATATTTAAAAGCTTCCTAATTTGCATCTTTCACGCTTCGCTTCTTGGATTTGGTTGGAAAAGAGTTGCCATTAATTCTGGCCTCAAAGAACCCAAAGGACATGTTAATGAAAAGACGCGTGAGCCCGTCACAGCATAAATTTATTTTGTTCTATTCTTTCTTCTATTTCCAGGGCTCTATATAATTTCTTTGGTTAAAATAAACAAAAAATTCTCAATTCGAGAATTTGGTAATTTTTTATGACTTTTTATAAAAGCTGGTCAAAGTAAAATACTCGTGGTAGGCGTGCAAAGAATTCAAGCCTGATACGACTGAAGACCCGGCGTGCGCAGGGGGCTGATGCAAGTTAAATATTTCGAGCCTTAAGAGCCCGTCCCGTACAGCGTGGAAAGTCAGGTGTCATCCTCGTCACTTGACCATGGTTCGAAATGACGTGGTCCCTCACCAAAAGCCCTTGTGTAGCTGAACAGTGTGATGGTAATATTCACTCACTCACACAAAAATAAGTTAGTCTCAGAAAAATTAGAGGCTGCGGTTTGATGGGTTCGAGTCCTGATGCCACTAACGCCCACCGCGTAGAGTGGGCCAATACATATTGAATCAGTTAAGAAACAATGTCCTCCTGTTGGTAAGGTGTGGTAGTAAGGAGAGGACGGTATTAGCTCAGGTGTCGCTCGCATTACTTGACTAGGTTAAAAATTACGAAATCTGTCGCCAATAGCTCTCATACAGCTTTGAAATGCAACATTAATTTTAAAGAATAAAATCAGTCCGTCTGAGTATTTTCTTCATTTTAAACTCTGAGACTACTAAAACGAGTTGAAGAATAAGATTATACATTCTTCATGCAAAAAAGTTATGTTATTAAAGACACCGATTTTCAAATTTTCTTTAAAAATCTATTGTAGCATTTCATTATTACAAGTTAATCAATTTTTAAGTGATGCAATTTTATTCATGAACCATTAAAAAAACTGTCATCTAATTAGTATTTTTTAATTTTAATTACTTCCTCGAACTCGAAACCCCAGCACGTACCCGTTATGAGGAACAATAATTTATCATTAGTTGCCAAAGTTTTGACAACTTACATCAAAATTCATTACACATCATATAACAAAAATGGAAACATGCTCGTTAACCTGAAACTGCCTTTTGATGAGAAATAAAGCTGACGCAAAACAGAAAGAAATGAAAAGGAAACCTTTCCTCGCAACGCTGCCAGCACAAAAGGAATAATAAAAATTTAGCATCAATTAATCATTTTCACTGTGTAACTGTTCCCCAACTGATTCACTGCTGCCAGTGAAATTTAAAAGAAACCCCTTTTGCATGGATATCATCCATTTTTTTAAAAATAAAAATCAGAGTTTTGCAGTTTCGAAAATAAACTATATTCAATAAAGATTCTCATGACTTTTTTCGGAAGAAATATACATTGACTTTAATTACACTACTCTTATGATCTCTTTTTCCTTACAGAGTAATTACTAATAGAGTAATTTAAAAATGCATGCGTTCTTTTTTTTAAAGTTTCAATTAGAATTTTAAAATAATTTATATAATAATCGTTGAAATGAAATGCACTTCTGAAAAAGGAGTTTGGTTGAAGACCTAAGTAGTGCATTATTTTTTAAAAAAAAATCGCTTTTGTGTAGTCTTGGATTCTCTGTGTGCAATTTAATTTATACTGAGGCATAATTAGTCACATTAGAAATGCCCGGGATGCTGCTGCTAGGCGTGATTAAACGCAGAAATGATAATTAAGAAAGGAAAGATATTTTACGAAAATATATTTTATCGCGCTTTTAAAAGAACGTTGTTTTCATTTTTATTTTAAAAAGTCCACTTTTCATTTATTTTATTGTTATTCCTTTCTTTTTAGAAAGTTGTCAATTATTCCATTATCCAGATGGATATCATGACTGGCTAAGTTTCCCGTTTCACGCACACATACACACACAAATGCTTTTTTCAATTCCTCCTATCAATTCACACTTTCCCTATATATATATCGTTAAAATTTTTCAATCGTTCATAAAATACTTTTTATTTGTCCACCCATGTTCAAATACATTTTTTTAAACTTGTAGTGGATGACAATTGATGTTAATACAGTTTTTTCGAATATTAATTCAATAATTCTATTTAATTAATAAATAGTCACTCAGCCAGTATGGTGGCTATGACCCTCGGCTCTTAAACGAGTGGGTTCGGGTTCGAATCCTGAATAAGACATGGTTGTATCTTCTTCGGGAAAGAAGTCGGATCTTTCGTCTGTAATGGATTCCCGTCTCGAAAGGAAAAGCAGCGCACCTCTTCTTGTTCTATGCTGGGATCATCATCTGTAATAAATGTGTATATTCTTCTCTTGTAGTGTATGCTTTCTGTTCTTCTTCACTTGTATGTCATATGTTCCCAGGATAAAAAGCACACGTCAACAACAACAATTAAAGAATAAACAGAAGAAAACAGAAATAATGATCCAACACCATATGAAAACAGAAAATTGCTTGTTGTATCCCTGCAGAGCAATGGATAGCCCGTTGGACTTCTAATCCGAAGGTCATGGATTCGAAGCCCACCTGAGATGGCCTGATTTCTGAGAATGCGATTTCTTTTTCAATTCCTACTATTATATATTGGGTTGTTCGGAAAGTAATTTCGTTTTTTCCCGACAGAGGATTCAATTGTATTTTTTGAACCCAACTTCACATTTAAGCCGTATAATGTTTATATGCTTTGAGAGCTCATATAGCAAGGCTTGTGTGTAAAAAAGTCCAATTAATTCTACGCGGTAGTTTTTGGTTGGTGCCCTTTTAAATATGGAGAGTGATAAGCAGCATTTTCGACATATCTTACTGTTTTACTACAGAAAGGGTAGAAATGCTGTTCAAACCAGAAAGAAATTGACCGATGTGTATGGAGAAGGTGTGCGGACGGTACGCCAGTGCCAGAACTGGTTCGCTAAATTTCGATCCAGCAATTTTTATGTCAAAGATGCACCACGTTCGGGAAGGCCGGTTGAAGCTGATAAAGACGCGATAAAGGCATTAGTTGATGCGAACCGGCGAATAACAACACGTGAGATCGAATTGAGGTTAAATTTATCAAATTCAACAGTTTATGACCACTTGAAAGGCCTGGGATTATCCTCGAAGCTCGATGTATGGGTTCCCCTTGTTCTCACAGAGAGAAATCTGTGTTGCCGCATTGACGTCTGCGATTCGCTTCTCAAACGTCACGAAAATGATCCGTTTTTGAAGCGCATCATCACTGGGGACGAAAAAGGTCATGGAGCAAAAAAGAATGAACCGTCTCAAACCATTTCCAAAGCCGATATTCACCAAAAAAAGATGATGCTGTCTGTTTGTTGGGATTTTAAAGGAATCGTTATTTTTTAGCTTTTACCAGATAACTTAACGATTAATTCGGAAGTCTACTGTCATGAGCTGGACAAACTGAATGATGCACTTCAACAGAAAAGGTCAGAACTAATCAACAGGAAAGGTGTAGTGTTTCACCAAGACAAGGCCAGACCTCACACAAGTTTGGTCACTCGCCAAAAGCTTTTACAGCTTGAATGCGATACAATGCCACACCCACCATATTCTTCATACCTGGCACCATTGGATTATTATTTGTTCCGGTCGCTCCAAAATTTTTTAGACGGTAAAACCATCACCTCAAATGAGGAGGTCAAAAACCACCTCGATCAGTTTTTTGCCTGCAAAGGCCAAAAATTTTATGAGTGGAATTATGCTACAACCAGAAAGATGACAAAAGGTGTTGGACCAGAACGGCTAATATATTATTTAATAAAGTATTTGTTTATTATACGAAAACTGTCTTTCATTTCCACAAAAAAAAAATTACTTTCCGAACAACCCAATAGTTCACACTCTCCTTATATATATCATTCAGTAGTTCTTTCGTAGTTCAAATAATGTTTTTAAAACTCGTAGTGGATGACACTTGACATTAATAGTTTTTCAAGTATTAAATCTTTAATTAAATTTAATTAATGAGCACGTTGGACATTTTAGCCTAATGTCGTGGGTTCGAATCCCAACTGGGATGGTCTAATTTCTGAACTTTGAGTCGTTTGTTACTATACTATTTTATTAGAATAATCATTTTTTTAATAAGTAGTAAAAAAAATATAGTCTAGCATCCTATATAGAATGGAAAATGGAAAATTACAAGGAAAAATCGTTTTCTATTTTGTCACTTAATATTTTGATTCTGTCATATGTATATACATTATATTATACATTATAAAAAGTAACTAAATGAACTTTTTTAACTAAAATAAACTTTGATTTAAGTAGGAATTGAATTTAAAAAATATTTTTATATAGCTTTTGTAATTAATTGCTCATGCTAAGTGCTTTTTATCCAGAGGCAAACATAAATATCAATGTAATAATTCACGTAAATTTTCTCTTGTTGGAATTTACACGATCGTGGTCTTGAGCCCTCCAAGACTTAACGGTTAATAAGTTCCCTTTGGTAAGTAATTTCTAGTTTACCTGCCTCAGGAAATAGCCTTAATCTTATTTCTCAAAAACTGAATGATGCAAATTTGCTTTACCTGCGCATTGGAACGAACAAGAAAAGCCTTTATCGGAAACGATGCGGTTTTAACAGCTTCCGGTTGACCAAGCCTATAAAAAGATGAGATCTCAGGATTGAACAATAAATGATCTTTTACATGATCGCACGTGGTTGTCCACCTGTTTGTGGTGTTTGTGAGATGTGCTTTTCATATCGCGCTTTTCCCTGTGTGCAAAAACAAATGTGGATTTTGAAATAATAACTTGTATCCTCTCATCCATCCACTCAACGACTCAAACAAATTAAATGATTCCTTCACGCAAAATGTATTAAGGCTGTTTTCGGTAAAAGTACGAGAGCTCTAACTAAATGCGAAGCACACTTTAAGACAGAAAAATGACCGATTTTCCATGGAAATTTGAATATTATAACTTGTACCTCTGTTAATAATATAGTGTTTTATAAAATTTCAAAATATTCCATGAATACTTTCTTTTTTGTTTTAATACGTGAAGGCAAAGCCCATTTAACATTACGGTATAGGAGAAAAAATGCGAAACACATTTTATACCAGAAAAGTTGAATCAACTCTGTTAAAAATGGGAAGTATGATAAAAAATGCCCCTCTCTAAAGGATAGTGAAGGCAGAATATCATATTAATTTTTCATTTACTTTATATCTGAAAAAATGTTCCAAATTCGGGTCCTATTTTTTGAGATTAACCGAAAACAGCCTTAAGAGGACTTGACACCTGAAACCTTTATTCATCGCATTATGATTTACTGCAGATTTTTTCATGCACTATTTTTTTCTGAATTACTACATTGAAAATTAAGGGATATGCATAAAAAATACTCAACTTTGTGAAATTTAATCCGTTAGAGCTAATAATTTAAAGATATTCAACTGTGTAAAACTAATTATGTACACTGTTCACTTAAAATAAATCGTCAAATCTTTTTTTAGTCTTTATTAACATACAAAAAATAAGATACCTTTTGACATTAACTACTTTTTCGGAACAAAAATGACAATCTTCACAATCTCATCAAAATGTCAGCTGCAAACGCAACTTGTGCTATAAAACTATACATCTTCCCCGCTAAAATACTCATCATAGAACCCGTGCTGCCATATATTTTGGAAAATTCGATTTAAAAGAATATTCCTGTTCAGTGTCATCAGAGTATTCGTAAAAATTGTTATTCTATTTCATTTTACAGTGAATGGTATTTATAAGTACCGTCGGTAGATAAAAGGTTGAAAATGACCTAAACATCATAGTTTGTTTTATTTAATTGTATTTTTTGCATTAATATCTTTCGATTGATATATCACTTTTATATGCCTGAAAATTAGGAGTTGAAAAAACGCTTCAATTGAAAAATGTAAACAAATAAATTAGGGAATTAGACCATAGATAAAAATGTTAAAAAAAGCTTTTTGATAAAGAAACGCTTTTTTAAAGAGTGAGATGATAACCAAAAAAAGGGTATTACAAATAAAACAGGATATTTTTGAAGTATTACACTAATGTAACTATTTTTTTTCTTTTGAGATGTGTGCATCAAAAACATTTTAATTAAGGCATTCTACATTAATAGTTTTAAAATTTCAGATCATATTCATCATATGTTTTTTGTTAAAAATATCTCTTGTGAAGCAAAAAACTTTAAAATTTATGTTATGACAAGAAAAATTTTTTTAACATTTTCCTTGACGCTTCTCCTTCCACAATTATTTACCAATCACTTCCATTTTTTCCCTGCGCTATGTATAAGGCATGTAAAAAAATTATTGATCGATATTGCTGTAAACTAAATACTTTTTAAACAAAGTTAAAATGATGGATATTTTCGCTTTTTTGTTGAACTTTAGCATGCTAATACAATTAATATCCACTAAAAAAGGAAAATGTATGTATGTATATATATATATATATATATATATATATATATATATATATATATAAAGGAGAAAAGCGACTCACACTCACTCACCGACTGACTAATCACGATATCTTCAAAACTATTAAACCCACAGACTTGAAATTTGGTAGACAGGCTTCTTTCATAGAGTAGACATCAGCTAAGAACAGATTTTGCAAAAGATCAAACCCCAAAGGGCGTTACGGGGCTTAAGGGGGCGTTATAGATAATTAGTTCCATTATTAAACTATTAGGTGTACAGTCTTGAAACTTGGTACGCAGATGGCGTACCAAATTCATTGCGTAGAGATCCGCTACAAAATGGGTTTTTGAAAATCAAATCCAAGTCAGCTGCGGGGGCCTAAAATCGTTATATTACCATTTTTAAACTATTAGACTTAGGAAATTTGCAGATGGCGTGAGGGGGTTTTGTGAAAATCAAATAAGTAGAGCTGCAAAGGAAGTTATATTACTTAATTATTTTCATTTTTAAACTATTAGATGTTAGTCTTGAAATTTGGTACGCAGATGGTTACCAAATTCATTGCGTAGAGATCCGCTACAAAATGGGTTTTGTGAAAATCAAATCCCCCAAGTAGAGCTGCGGGGGCCTAAAGGAAGTTATATTACTTAATTATTTTCATTTTTAAGCTATTAGACTTAGTCTTGAAATTTGGTACGCAGATGGCGTACCAAATTCATTGCGTAGAGATCCGCTACAAAATGGGTTTTGTGAAAATCAAATCCCCCAAGTAGAGCTGCGGGGACCTAAAGGGCGTTATATTACTTAATTATTTTCATTTTTAAACTATTAGACTTAGTCTTGAAATTTGGTACGAAGATGGCGTACCAAATTCATTGCGTAGAGATCCGCTACAAAATGGGTTTTTTGAGAAAATAGACTTTCAAGTGGCGTTGCGGGGGACAAAGGGGCATAAATATATAAGCTAAAATAATATGAAAATGCTATTATTTTTAAGAAAATATATAGCTAATATTTTAAAGTGATACCTCGTCACTTGATTGAGGCTCAAAAGTGCGAATTCCGTCGCCAAAAGCTTTACACTGCGATGTAATCAAACTCTTACATTTTCATTCCTATTAAAA